GCGCTGCTCCAGCTGCAGCAGCTTGAAGGCTGAGCGCGCCCGCCAGCCGCGCTCCTTGGCCAGCCGGTAATAGACGTCGCGCTTGTCCCGGGACGAGCGGCCCATGGCGGCGCCTGCACCACGACGGGACCCGTTAAACGCCCTTTGTCGCCGTTTCGGCCGCGGGAAACGCGCCGGGCCGCGCTGCGCATGCGCGGGGGACGCGACGGGCGGGGGAGCGTTCCCGCCCCCTGTGCTGCGCATGCGCCGGGGGACGGGATGGGCGGGGGAGCGTTCCCGCCACCTGTGCTGCGCATGCGCCGGGGGACGGGATGGGCGGGGGAGCGTTCCCGCCCCCCTGTGCTGCGCATGCACCGGGGTACGGGATGGGCGGGGGAGCGTTCCCGCCGCCCGTTGCGCATGCGTCGGGGGACGCGATGGGCGGGGGAGTGTTCCCGCCACCTGTGCTGCGCATGCGCCGGGGGACAGGCTGGGCAGCTAAGCCTTCCCGTTCCCGCCGCCTGTCTTGCGCATGCGCCGCGCGAGGCGACGCGCGGAGGGTCTCCCGCCATGCGCATGCGCGGATCGGCCCCTCCCCTCGATACTCCGCAAGCCCCGCCCCCCACGCTCTTTTCCCTCCATCCCGTCGCGCACGCGCGGCGAGTCCCGGCTCGTGGCCAACCGCCTCCAGCGCCCCCACCTCCACCTTAACGTCTCCCCCGCAGCTTTTACCGGCGCCGGGGACCCGGGAACGCGTGGAAGAGGCGGAAGTGACGTAGCAGGCGGCGGCGGCAGCAGAGAAGACGCGGGGCGCACGGGAGGGGGAATGACTGCGCATGCGCCTCTGTGTCACGTGGCCCTTGACGCGCATGCGCGATGGCTGGAGGCGCAGCTGCGAGTGCGCATGCGCGCCGCCGCTTCCCGCGCGGGGCACGCTGGGAATTGTAGTTCGCAGTGCGCAACGCGCGCTCACGAGTGTTTATTGCCCCAAAAAAGGTCTTTTCTCCCCAAAACCTGAACGTTTGACCCTCCTCCCCCGCCAATTAATAAAAGAACCGAAAGTCGCTGCGGTTCAAATCGCGTTTATTTAAAGGGGCACCAAGGGCACATGCGCGGGGGCTCTTAAAGGGGCAATGCCCCCATGGGTGGGCAGCTATGTACAGTGCTAAGGGGCGGGGGTGCGGAGGCCACGCCCCCTTAAAGGGGCAACGTCGCGGGGGGGGCACCCCGCTCCTTGCGGAGCTGCTCCAGCTCCTGGGAAAGCGTCTCCAGGTCCTGGGGGGGAGGGGGCGGGGTCAGGCACGGTCACGCCCGCTTGACGGCCACACCTCATTGCGCTTGATAGAGAGGAGGTGCCCGAGGCCCCGCCCCACTCGAGACTCCACCCACTTCCAAATTTCGGGGCGGGGGGGGGACCCTCCGGGGTCCACCCCCAGAGGCCCTGCCCCCTCTCCTGTGCCACACAGAGGCCCCGCCCCTGGAAACCCTGTGTCCTGGAGCCCCGCCCTCCTGGGGGCCGCCCTTCCAAAGCCCCGCCCCTCTGAAGCCCCACCCCAGAAGCCTCTACTCCCCCTGAAGGCYCCGCCCCTCCAAATCTCTGCCTCCAGAGGCCCTGCAACGCCCCACCC